CGAGCTAAAGTGGATGGGGAGCTGGATCGCTTCCGCAGGCTTTTGGCTCCGACCAGGCCCTCCGAGCCGTGGCGCCGCCATAGCGACCTCCCATCGGAGGCTCCCGAGACGCCTGGCCCTGCCGATCAGGACTCGGAGGCGGAACAAGAGGCCGCGCATTTTTTGGGCACAGCCCCCATTTTTCCCTCCACTCTCCCTCCGCCGCCGCCCCCTCCCCCCCTAACTCTGGATCAGAAAAGGCGCATCCAGTGCAATCGGGACCGGGCCAGACAAATCAGGGCCGAGCGTGCCCGCCAAGCGGCGCGCCCCGTCCCGCTCACTGGCCTTACCTTCGCTCACATGTGGCATCCTGCTTCCCCCGCCCCGCAGGACTTCAACGCCGACATCTTCGACATTTAGGCAGGCGGCACATGTCCAGAAGGCCGTGGGTGCTGGTGCCTCGTGAGGCCAGACCCAGGCATCCGCCACCGGGCCAATTTCGCTCAGCCTCAGCTCCTCCCCCCCTGCTCTCACCTGCCCAGTTCGCCCAGGTAGCCAAGGCAGTGCAGCGCTCCCTGTCTAGCACTCCCTCAGCCTCAGGTCCCCCACGCCCACCTGGCGATTTCAACGGCCCCCCCGTGGGACGCGGCAGGCACATCTATGGAGCCACTTTTCATCCTCCGCCACCTCCGCGCGCCATGCCCCCCTTGCCTCCCCCTGATCATCCCACAGTGAAGGCCAAAGCCGCCATTCCGGAAGGCTGGATCGGCCAGGCCGCCTCTCCTTTTTCTCCACCCCATGCTGCGCGTCCCTCACCTCCACCTCCGCGCGAATCCCGCAAAGTTGCAGCCCCCCACAGGCGTCGGCCGCGCAGGGCCTCCAGTTCGCCTGCGTTTCCTAGGAGGCTTGCGCAGGTAGACGATGCCTCATATTCCTCTGTCTCTTCCCCTTTTCCCCCGCAGGATTCTCCGGAGCCAGCTGAACAGCCAGCAGTGCCCCGCGCCTCTGCCACTCGCAAGCGCAAGCAGGTCTCATTTACAGACGAATTCACGGCCAAAGCCCCTAGGGTGGCATACAATTCGCGCCGAAGCACGGAGCCGCGCAAGAGTGCACTCAAGCAGCCGGCGCCGCAACGCCGCGGACCAGCCGAGGCTCAAAGCAGCTCGCAGGCATTCCGCGGCGCGGCCTCGCCTCCAGCCTCTCCTCCTCCAAGGCACCATAAGGCTCGCAAGTCTCACCGTGCTGCCCATGCTGCTCCGCACCCGCACTCGCCTGCCGAAGCGCCAGACGCAGCATCGGACGAGCAGCGCAGTGCAGTCCTCAAGGCGCACGAGAATAGGATTGCCCAGCTCAAAGAGGAGCATAGGCAGGACCAGCTCCGTATCGACAGGATACACAGGGAGCGCCTCAAACTTCAGTTAAGAGAAGGCGAAAGCCTCTCGCACTGTGGTCAGCGCCTCTCCCCCAGGCGGCCGCGCAAGCCTCATGAAGGAGGCGATGCCGCCAGGCGTTAAGCCTACGCCATGCAGCCGTAATTCAGCCCAGGCCTTCCCCTTCCCTCCTTACCTCTCTCAGCATCCTTTCCCTCGCTTCTCCCCCCACAGGCCATGATGCGAGAGCTCAGCACCTTGGGCAACGCCGACGCAGACGAGGACATGCCCGCTGCTGAAGCGGCCCCGGGGAGGCACCTAGATTTGCTCCGCATTATGGAGCGGCTGCCCCCAGACTTTCGCAGCGCATGGCCCTTTTGGGAGTACCTGGCGGAGCGGCTTCTCCTGGCCCACCAGCAAGTCTTCCGCTTTCTCAGCGGCGGCTCGAGGCGCCACGCTCTTTTACTATCTCCTACCGCTGTGTACCAGCCTGCCTCGGTACCCCAATGGCAAGCTACATGGCAGCTCGAGAGCGGGCCGCCTGCTCTGCCGCACGCCCGCGCTACCGTAGGCCCCGAGCTCTATATGGACTTGCCCGATGTCGCTAATCACACAGTCGAGCGGTGGTATGGGCGTTGGTGCGAGGCCAACTCTCCCAACTCACTCCACATCTATCCTCGGCGCGCAGCGGGTGAAGGCCCCTACGCTGCCCGTTTCTCACCCGCTATAAGTTTGGTCACTGTCTACGTGCCCGACCAGATTGTTCTGGACCTCCTTCACACGGGGGCCTGGGAACAGCCTGCTCTCATCCCTCAGCGTCTTTTGGAGGAGGCAGCGGCTGGCAGCCCCATCCTACTTGACTTCCAAGCCATGATCCTGGTGCGGCCATTTTGCCTTCCGTTGTCCTACCTCTCTCGAATCCTCCGCCTCCCTGAACCTTAGCCCCTCAGGCCATGCCGACCCCAGATGCGCAGCACCTGCCGCAGTTCGAGCACGGCGACGTCCGCTGCGCACCCACTGAGGCCGTGCCACCGCAGCCTACAGTCGTACAGTGGCTGGTAGTGATCACGGCAGGTCACATTCCGCTCTGGTCTCCGCTGCCCATCAATGTAGGACTCCTAATGGAGCAATTCCACGGGCAGGAAACCCGGCTGCCATCTTCAGTGGAGAGACCACGCTTTTTTTCACCTCCCCATTCTTCAGGAGACCGATGCGCGGTCCATTTTATTCGGCACGGGCATACCTTTTCGCACCGGCCTTTCGCTGCGGGTCAACATGCGCAGCGGAACCATCCTCATCCCTATCGACTCAGCACCGGGCCAAGCATGCATCAGTCGGCCCATCAGGAGGGTCCTCCTCGCCCAGGCGCACGCATAGGCCAGCTAGGTTTCACTCATATATGGCCGTTGGCTTATGGGCTACTTCTTTTCGCTCCTTCCGCACTCCCCCTCCTCTCAGAGCGCGCAGCGCAGCCATGGTTCCTGCGGTCGGGCGCGCTTCGGCGGCGGCTGAGGGGACCACGCCCCCGCAGGAGGCCGCGGCCGAGTTCGTCGGCCTATCAGGCGACACGTACTCGGGCTCGGCATGGCAGGGCTCCCAGTACATTGCCGCCAACAGGGAGTTCAAGAAATGGTGGCCAGCTACGTACCCTGGCGAATGGAAGATGCCAAACGGCATGCTCTACCCGTTCGTGTGGAAGCTCAAGTCCCTCGACGTCATCAACGGCCAGGTCGTCGAAACTTGGGGCTGGGAATGGATAGAGGCTCCAGGCCTGGCGACCATCTCAGAGGTCGAGTCAATGCTGCTGGAGGCCCGGGCGCGAGCGGCGGCGGCGGCGGCCGCGCGGCAGCCGCGCGGTGCATGAGCGGGCCCTAGTGTGCTACCTCCCAGCCGGCGCCACCCAAGGTCGACAAGGGCGACCTTGGCGCAAATAATAGGTGGTGGGCTAGCCTAATACTCTAGTCTCGGTTCACCACGGCAGCCCACCACCTAGACAGCCCCAGCCAGCCACACGAGCCAAATGTTTACAGCTGGAGAGCCGTGTTGCTCCAATTTAAGATCGGCTGAGCCGACCTGCAATCCCGTCGCAGTGGGCCCAGCTATTCTTTCATTTAGCCACATGCCAAAGGCCCGCTGCAAAGTCGTAGTCAGCACCAGTCTCCAGCTTCACATCTTTCTGCCGCACTAGTGCAGCCAACGCGACACTTTTAGTTTGCCCCGCTACCAGAAGAGCGGACAGCTAATGCTCACAGCTCAATTCGCAGACTCGCCACGGCTGAGTCTTCATAGGTTATGGGCTAGCCTAATACCCTAGTCTCTGCTTATATCGGCAGCCCACCACCTAGATAGCCCTAGCCAGCCACACGTACCGTAATTCACCAGCGAGGAGCTATGCTGCTCCAATCTAAGGTCGGCCGAGCTGTCCTATAGTCTCGTCGCAGCGGGCCCTTCAGATCTTTTCCTCAGCCCCATCCAGAGGGCGGGCCAGCTGCAAGAGCTGTAGCCAGCACCAGTCTCTAGTTTCACACATTCTTGCCGCAGCAGTGCGGCCAGGCCAAAGCGACACTTTTGAGCAGCCTCGCTACCAGCAGAGCGGCCAGAGCAATGCTCACAGCGCAATTCGCAGACTCGCCTCGGCTGAGTCGATACTGCGGCAAGCAAAGTTGCCGCCGCAGCACATCCCACCCGCCGAGTAACTCTCGGCTAACGCTGCCCATCAGAGGTGCGTACCTCTACGGACAGCTACCGCGCCCTAGTGTTGCTTGGCTTGGCAAGATAATCCCTCTCCCTCCCATATTTTCTCCCCTCCCCTCTTACCACGTTTACACCAAGACGCCAAGCACAGCACAGGCGCTCTCTCACCTGCCCCCCTTCCGGTCACATGCGTAACCGATGGGGCTTCCTAGTCTCCTGGCTATTGCGGCAAGCAAAGATGCCGCCTCAGTACATCCCACCTGCCGAGCAATTATCGGCTAATGCTGGCCGTCAGAGGGGGGTACCTCTACTGACAGCTATCGCGCCCTAGCGCTGCTTGGCTGGACAAGATCATCCCTCTTCCTCCCTTTTGTTCTTCCCTCCCCTCTTACCACGTTTACTCCAAGACGCCCAGCACAGCACAGGCGCTCTCTCACCTGCCCCCTTTTCCGGTCACGTGCGTTACCGATGGGGCTTCCTAGACTCTTGGCGGCAACGCCGGCCTCTCCCTCATGGTCCGCTCCGCCACGGCCGCCATACAGCGCGGCAGGGCCATTTTGGCCCTCTTCCTACTCATCCCGCTCATTTCCATGGCTAAGCCATGCTCCCAGGTGGCCGTCCCTGAGGCCAGCTCTGCTGCTCTCGGTCTTTCAGCGCTGCCCGCATAGGGCAACGCCTAGATGGCGCGCTCAGTGTTTCTCGCACGGCACCGATCCCTTCTCTTCTTATCATTCCCTCTCCCTCCCCCTCGGTGCCTATACCTCCCCCGCCCATCATGCAGGTCCAATGGCGAAGAATCGCTTTTGCCTGCGGACGGACCAGGAGCGGAGAACCTTTGCTGTGCCCGCTAGGCGGGCTCTGTCTGCCGCCTGGCCGACCTCGGCCACCCAGCTCAAGCTACTTGCAACGAGCCAAGTGCAGTCAAAAGAAAGCCCGTATGCCTTCTGCACGGCGCAGGCCAGGGGTGACGTCGAGACCGCGAGGCAGCGGGAGCAGCGGGCGCTGCAGGCCAAGCAGCAGGCCGAGGACCGCGGCAGGAGGAGGAGGAGGAGGAGGAGAAGGAGGAGGAGAACAAAAAGGACGAGGAGGACGAGGGCGACGAGGAGGACGAGGAGGACGAGGAGGAGACGGAGGGACGAGCCGGAGAAGTAGTGAGATCAGCGGGTGCAGGAGGATGAGGAGGAGGAGGAGGAGCAGGAGGACGAGGAGGAGGCTGAGGCGGAGGCGGAGGCGGAGCAAGGAAGATGAGATGGAGGAGGAGGAAGAGGAGGAGCAGCAGTTCCCAGCGATCCGACGCTCCCCCCAAAAAATTGGGGCGGGGGTTCTTTGGCCGTCTTCGGCCTCCAGGGGCCCTCGCCAGGCCTCGGGACTTTGAAGAAACGACTCTTGACGAAAATCAGCCCTTGGGAATTGGCCTAGACTACTGGGGGAGGAGGAGAAGGAGGAGGAGGACGAGGAGGAGGACGAGGAGGAGGACGAGGAGGAGGACGAGGAGGAGGAGGACGAGGAGGACGAGGATGAGGAGGGGGAGGAAGACGTCGACCAGCAGGGAGCAGGCGTCTTCCCCCGCTGCCGCGAGGACCTGTACAGACACCGGGACGACGGGGACAGGGAGGCACACCGCCGCGCGGAGGACGCGGAGCAGAGGTGCCCGCCAGGGAGACTTGGCATCGCTCGGACGTGCGCGTTTTCCTGTCGGCGGAGGAGCATCCTGGAGCATCCTGCGGGGAAGGACAGACACACTCACGAGACCGAACAGCCGCACGGGGAATGATGGACGTCCGAGCGATGGCCAGGGAGATCGAAGGGGAGATCGCCCGGGCAGGGCAGGGGAAGTGGACCTAGGTGAGCCCATACGGGCGTCCTGGAAGGTCGAGGCTTGCCCCGTCTTCGGACACCCCCCCTCCCGGCCTCCCCCTCGCATCCCATACACAGGGGGCGCAGGGGCGGGGCAGGGGGGAGTGGACTCAGGTGAGTCCATACGGGCGTCCTGGAGGGTCGAGGCTTGCCCCGTCTTCGGATCCCTACCCCCTCAAAAGCGCCCCCCCCCCCCCCCCTAACCTTCTCCCTCAGCCCGTCTCCTTTCCTCTCCTCTCCATCCCTGCCCGACATAATCATGCACTTCCCTTTATCCCGTTCCCCCGTCCCTCCCCGTGTGCCCCCTCTGCGCGTCAAGGCCAGGGCCCCGTGGACAAGCGATTTGCGATCCCTGCAGGTGCCAAGCATTGGAGGCGCGCGATCTTTCACCCACCCTTGCCGAAGAGGAAGAGGAACGTGCGGGAGATGCGGGACGGAAGAGAACGGAGCTTGGGACCGGGAGCTGGACGGATGAGGAGGAAGAGGATGAGGAGGTGGATGAGGAGGTGGAGGACGAAAACGGTGAAGGAGGGAAGCGCAAGAGGATGAGTAGGAGGATGAGGATGGCAGAGGGGGGAAGCGGAAGAGGATGAGGAGGAGTTGGAGGAGGAGGGTGTTTGATTTGGAGGGGGAGGAGGAGGAGGAGGAGGAGGACGAGGAGGAGAAGGAGGAGGAGGAGGAGGAGGACCAGAGTAAGTCCAAGGTGTGCAAAGGATGTTGCAAGAGACCCTCTCGTTCCTGCTTCCCTCCTCATTCGTTATCACAAGCATCCTTCCTCATCGGGAGAAGCGGTCCCCTTGAAAGACGCGCTGCGAGCGCCCCATGGGTACGCCATTATGGCGAGAGCTACGCTCTGAAGAGTACCGCATCCGGCCTTCGAGCAAGAAGGAATGCGACAAGGTGCGTCCAAAAGTGACAGCCCTGATTTGACAAGGAACCTCCTGGCATCCGCGTAGATTGTCAAGCATGTTTATCTTTGTGGGCATCAAATCGAGCGGAGATTCGGGCAATCATCCCACTGCGAAAATGAGCCGTCCCCACCCGTGCAAGTGGTGTTGCACAATTCCCCAGTTGTGGTATTACGTGGTGAGGAATGCCTGGGCGAGAGCTCCATTTTGAAAACGTGCCGGCCTCGATCCGTCGAACTGTTGGAGGCGGTTGAGACGATTGTGCGCGGCACTAAGGCGGAGCCATAGTTTGACGACGACTGGCCATCCATGCGTGCATGTGGTGAAAGCCGTTAAAGTGAGTGCGTGTGTCACGTCAAGGCGAGAACAACACTTTGAAGATTACCCGCCCTCCTTCTGTGTACGAGTCGGAAGCTTCTAAGCTCTGGGATAGTACGAGGAAGTCTGAGGGCAAACGCCTGGTCCAGCCTACAGACACCTCTGGTGGCGCGACAGGCAGGAGGTATGCACAAGGAAGCGGGATGGGGGGTCGAGGTGCAGGAGGGAGGGCATGAGTAGATGGAGAAGGGTCCTGCTTCCGTTTCAGAAGCGATCAGCGACCTGAGGCGGATGAGGATAACGAAGAGGATGAAGTCGAAGAACCAAACATGGCATAAACATAAACCTTTGGAGCTCCGCGCGGATATCTTGGATCGGCGCTACACCCCCTCCATGGCGCGCGGAGCGCGCCAGGGCCGGCGTCGGAGGCGCCGCCGGGAGGCCCCAGCGCAGATCTAAGAGATCCGCGCGGAGTTCCAACAGTTTATGTTGATGCAGTGTTTCGTCCTCTGTGAAGAAGGGACGAGGAGGAGGAGGAGGAGGAGGAGGAGGAGGAGGAGGAGGAGGAGCTCCTGATCCTGACCCCCAGAGGTCCCTGGAGGTCCCCAGAGATCCGAAAAGGACCGAAAACTTCCAATCACCGTCTGGAAACGCTCGAAATCCTCCTCGATCCTCGAGGAGGGCCGAGGGCAGAATTTTGTAGGCAGAGGGGGGGCGGCAGGAGAAGGAGGAGGAGGAGGAGGAGGAGGAGGAGGAAACGGACGAGGCAGAGAGGAGCAAAGGGGAGGCGGGGGCGGACGGGCAGGATCCCATGCCTGCCCACCTCTCCGCCCTGTGTGCGCTCCTGCCGCCGGCAGCCGGTGGGCGAGCATCGAGACGGGGCGCCGCAAGGATGGGAGGGGACGCCGGAGATCGGGGGAGGGGGGCAGCGTGCCCCCTCTCACCGAGCGCGTTCCAATAATCACTCGCAGAGTTCCTACTCGCAGGCGGCGCACAAGCAACTGCTCCTCGGTGCAGTGGAGCTCGTTTGCCCCGGCGCAGTGGATCCAGGCCGTTTGCGAGCAGCTACTGTTTGCGAGTCGTGGAACGCGCTTGTCTACCCTCTCGTGCCCTTTTTTGTTGGACAGGGATTGGCAATCGGCATATACGCCGCTTTCAAATCCCTTTGAAAGCGGCATACATATATATATATATATATATATATATATATATATATGCAGCGCCGCAAGTTTGTGCTTGCTTATGGGCACCAACTTTCGGCGCTGCGCGCGGAGTGCTTCGATCGGCGCCGGACCCGCCTGGCGGCGCCCCCGGCGCTCCGGCAGGGGGGCCGCAGGGACGGGAGGGGGCATCGCAGCGAAGCAGCAACGAAGCACGGCCCGAGTGCGGAGCCCAGCGCGGCGACCCACTTCTTCTTCGAGGATGGAGGCTTCCAGGATCGAGGATCGAGGATCGAGGCTCGAGGCTCGAGGGCAGAGTATCGAGCATCGAGCAGCGAGGTTCGAGGTTGCGAGGTTTCGAGGATCGACGTTCGAGGATCGATGTTCGAGGTTTCGAGGTTCGAGGTTTCGAGGTTTCGAGGACCGAGGTTTCGAGGATGAGGGCCTGGGCAAGGGAGGCGCTCTTCCACAGCATCCTAGAACGCACTCGAGCGTTCTGGTGCGGCCTCGCATGGCCGCGGCGCAGGACACATCCTCTCCAGAGCCACCACCGCTCGCAGATCCCTGGTTTGTCCTGGTTCGATGTTGTCCCACTCCTAGTCCGAGTTTGTCCCGGTCCGATGCTGTCCTGGTTTGTCCCACTCCTGGCTCCTCTGTTGTCCCGCTCCTAGCTCCTGTGTTGTCCCACCCCTGGGTTGTTGGTCCGATGCTGTCCCACTCCTAGCCCCCGGTCCTGGTTTGTCCTGGTCCGATGCTGTTCTGGTCCTGGCTTGTCCTGGTCCGAGTATCGAAGGCCGACGGGATGGGAGGGGACATCGGGGATCGGGGGGGTCGAGGACGGGGGGGCGCTCTCCCAGAGCGTTCCCGGAACGCACTCCGAGCGTGGCTCGAGGTTTCGAGGTCCGAGGTTTCGATCAGCGAAGTTTCGAGGAGCGAGGAGCGAGGATCGAGGTTCGATGTTTCGAGGATCGAGGTTTCGAGGATCGGGGGTGTCGAGGACGGGGAGACGCTCTCCCGGAGCGTTCCCGGAACGCCCTCTGAGCGTCTCGGAGCGGTCTTGGACGGCCGCAGCGCCCGACGCATCCTCCAGAGCCACCAGACCCCGGAGATCCCCGAGCAGTTCGGGCGGGTGGAAATGGGGGGTGGCCCACGTGGGGGATGAAGAAACGGGCCCTGAAGGGACCGTTTGGGGCACCCTTTTGGAGCCCGCAGGGGCCCGAAAGGTGCCGCCTAACGGGCCCCTTTGGGGCCCCTTTCTTCACCTCCCGTTCAGGTCGCGCCCCACTCTGGCACCCGCCTGGTTTGTGCCTGTCGGATTCTGTCCCTCTCCGGGCTGTGTTCGCCATGGGTCAAGCAGTGGCGAAGCGTCCCGGCTCGCTTATAGTGCCACCAAACAATGTTCTAAGAACCTATTGTGGTCTGCACGAAATGTTCTTAGAGCATTTCTGGCTGTGACTGTCTTGTTTTAACACATCGGGCTTATGTTCTAAGAACATTGTTTTTGTTCTTAGAACATTTTTGGGTTCTAAGAGCATTTCGTGGTATGACTATAGGAATGCCGGGACGGTCGGCCCCTGCTCAAATGGGGGGAGCGGGTCCTGCAGGGGGGAGTTGGCAGTGCTCGGGCTCTCGGGGGCCTCCACGGGCCCCGGGGCTGGCCTGGGCCCGACTGTGCCGGGCCCGGGGGCCCTCAGACATGGACCTGGGGCGAAAAAGCCCCCCCCCCCGGGGGAGAACGGGTCGGGACCTGTGGGGCCGCGGATGGAATTTTTGATCTGCGGGGCGAGAGCGAACCTCTTCCGATAGAAGCTAAGCGGGCCGCGCACAGCTTGAATTAGCAGAGAAAGGGCGAAAGACGGCGGGGCGGCCTCACGGCGGCCGGGAGAGGGCGAAGCCCTGGGATCAGGCGGTGCCGAAAAGAACCGCGGATGGAAACAGTCAGATCGGCGGCTGTCTGGGGACGCGGGGGGGAGGAGAAGGAGCCCTCGCTGCCGAGCAGAGCAGGGGCGATGCCAGGCGGGGGCGCCGAGGTGGGAGCGGGGGGAGGCTAAGAGCCCCCCCTCTCCTCGGCGTCCTCCCGCGCCCGCCCCTTCCCTCTCCGCGGGCAGCGCGTGCGGCCTGCGCCGGCCCCTTCCCTCCGCGACCGCCCCGGCTCGTTCGCCCAGGCCGCCCGAGCGCGGGGCGGGGGGGCGGCGGGGCGCGCCCCGCACGGCGAGGCGGCCCGCAGGGCGCTCGCGGCCGCAGGCGGCGAGCGGCGCCGCCGAGCGCGCGGGCCCGGGATGCAGGGCGCCCAGGGGAACGCCTCGGCCGCGTCGCGGGCGATCCAGAGCGCGGTGCAGGGCATCGCGAACCGGTCTTCGAGGTCATCGCTGGCCACGCACGTGAAGAACGCCGCGACGCAGGCCGGGGACAAGATCTCGCAGGCGGTGACGAAGGCGCAGGAGGGCGGCTACTTCGAGCCCATCTGCACCGAGAGGCACGTCTCGGTGCGGTACTACTCCTGGGACGCGTTTCAACTGGTTGGAGATTTCACCCACCTCCTGGCGCTCTTGCTGTGCCTCGCGGTGATCTTGCGAGAGAGCGGTACCGAGGGAGTCTCTTTCAAGACGCACTTGCTTTTCCTGCTGGCATACACCACGCGATTCTCCAACATCCTGTTCTGCGAGCAGTCCATATTCATCATCCTCTACAAGGTGCTCCTCTGGACTGCCACGCTGAAGATCGTGGTTCTCATGTGGGTTCTCGGCTCCAGGGACGACACGAAGGATACATTACCGTTGGCCGTGATACTGATCCCTACATGTGTTATGACAGTTGTGCTGGGCGTATATTCGGTAGACGATCGAGGGCTCCTTGTCGAGATCCTCTGGATATTTTCCACGAACCTCGAGGCCGTCACCATGCTGCCACAGTACATCTACTGTTACCGCGACGAGGACAACACGAGCCCTGTCGTGACCGCGTATGTCCTCGCGATGGGTGGATACCGTATGATATTTGGGCTCAGCTGGGCTTACCACTACCTGGTCATGCCTTACTACCTCGACATGAGCAGCTTCTTCTCGGGGATACTGGGCATCGTCTTCTTCTGCGACTACCTGCTCTTCAAGGTTGCCAGGCGCTCCACCCTCTCGCACGTGTGCATCCAGGTGGACGACACCATCCGGGAAGCCGAGGAGGCGGCGGTGAACATCGTGCAGTTCGGAGACGTGGTGCCGAGCCTGGGCCACGACAGCCTGGCGCCCCCGCCCGAGAAGTTCGGCAGGGGCAGCGGCACCAGCGAGATCGAGCTGTGCTCCGACGTGGCCGGCCTGGGCCCCCAGGGCATCGGGGTGGAGTACCACCGGCCCGGCCTCCCGAGGAGGTGCGCGCAGGAGGCGGGCATTCCCTTCGAGAGGGCCACCTCCGCGGAGGTGACGCTCCACTAGCGTGGATGCGCTCGGCGGCACCGGGGAGCACTGAGCGGAGGGCCTCGGAGGCGTGGAGGGTGGCACCACCACTGATCGTCGGCGGTGTGCCTCCACCCGAGGGAGGATGATCCTCCCCCAGAGATCCGACGCTCCAAGTTGGAGCGGCGGGATCTTGGCTGTTTTCGGCCTCCGGGGGCCCTCGCTGGGCCTCGGGACCGTCAACGAAGGTCAGGACGAAAAACCGGCCTCGGGGAAGTGGTCCAGGCCTCTGGGGCCCACGCATCGGAACAAAAATGGGGCGGCCGGATGTCTGGGCCCGATCTCGGCGGTGGTGGGAAGGTTCGGGCTTCCCCAGGGGACCGAGGGATCAGAGCATCACCACTCGAAGAAGAAACGGCAGAAACACAAAGTTTCGGAGAGCTCCGCGCGGATTTCTTGGATCTGCGCTGGACCCCCCTCCCTTGGCGCGCGGAGCGCGCCAGGGGCGGCGCCGGAGGCGCGCCAGGGGGCCCCAGCGCAGATCCAAGACATCCGCGTGGAGCTCCGAAAGTTTATAATGATTATGCCGTCTCTTTCGTTCCCTTACCACCGGAACCTGGGATCATCTTCCCCCGCTGGAGGCAGACCCCGTGTGTCCCCAGACACTGGGCCGCTCAAATTTTTCCGATGCGTGGGCCCCGGCCGGAGTGCTGGACCGCCTCCCCAAGGCTAGTCTTTCGTCACTCGGCCAAAACCCTACACATTGTTCATGTCTCATTCCTCGAAAGTTCTCTGATTTTTTGGGGGGCCAGGATCCTTTCATTCCTAATCCTTCCATTCTGGGCCCCTTCCTGGCCACCAGGGGGCCAGGAACAACCAGAAACGAGCACCATTATAGAAATGAGCACGTCTTAGAAATGAACGACGTGTACTGGCGCCCAGCTTCAAGCCTCCACGGGGGTGCCGCCCCCCGCCCGCAGCCCGAAGCCCCCGGGAGAGTGGCTGCGGCCCGGGAGGGGGGAGGGGCGGAAGACCGCGGGGGCTATGCGCGCCCGCGCGCTCGGCTCGATCTGCGCCCGGGGGGCGCGGACAGCTCCTCCCTCCTCCCCCCTCTCCCTCCTCGCCCCTCTCCCTCCTCGCCCCTCTTCCCTCCCCCCTCTCCCTCCTCCCTCTCCCTCCTCCCTCTCCTCCTCTCCCTCCCTCTCCCTCCTCCCCCTCCCTCTCCCATGCTCCCTCTCCCTCCTCCCCCTTCCTCCCCCCTCTCCCTCCTCCCCCCTCTCCCTCCTCCCCTCCCTCCCCGGAGATCCGACGCTCCAAAAGAATTGGTGCGGCGGCGTTTGGGCCGTCTCCAGCCTCTGGGGCCCTGGCCGGGCCCGGAGAGCTGGCCCTGCGGGCCGTGGTCAGAAGCCCGGGGCCCACGCGTCGAAGAAGTTGGAGCGGCCGGACGCCTGGGTCCGCTCCCTCCTGCTCATCGAGGCCCCCTCCCCCTTGCTTCGCCTCCCCCCTCCGCCTCGGCGTCGTCCTCTCCCTCCTGCTCCCATTCCGCGGCGTATCGGCCGGAGTTCGAAGGCCACGGCCGGGGGTGGGGCTTCGTCCTCCTCCTCGTCTTCCTGGTTCGCCTCTCCATCGCTTCCCTCGTCCATGGATCCCCCAATCTTGTGATGCCTCGGCGATGGTGTAATCTCACGCTGGGCGCTGGGGCGAGGGGCATGGAGGCGTGCTCCTTTGGGCTTCTCCGTGGCGGCCCCCGACAGATTCCGACAGATGCAGCAGGTTGCTTCGCCACCGGTTTAGCACAGTCAAACGTCTTGGATCGCGAAGGTTCTTCTTTGTCCTCTTCATCCTCCTCCTGCCCCGCTCTTTGCTCGTCACTCCTGACTGCTTGCGCCGTCGCCTCGTCTCCTGGCCCACTAAGAGTGCCATATTCCGTCCGCCTGGGAGGCGTCGAGAACGCCTGCCGCTCCCTGAGAGCAGCCGGCTCCTCTTGCTCTGGAGCTGTTTGTCCAATCCGCCGCCCTCTCCTGGGCAGGGGGCTACGGACGACCCTCCGCGGATACACGCTCGCACAGACATTCCGGGAAGCCTCGGGGTCCGACGGCTTAGATCCCCCAAAGCAAAGAAATGGCTGGATCGGAGGCCTGAGAGTGTCACGCTCCACCAGTGGCGGCGGCGAACTTATAAAGCAGCACTAGGTCCCCAGAGTCTTTGTGGGCCCCAGAAACGGCAGGGCCGTTTTTTCACCGTTTCCAAAAAAATGTCCCTTGAAAATGGAAACGGCAAAAAACGGCGACCGGAAACGGCAACAAAAACAGCTCCGGGATTGGAACTGGAGCCGGAACCGGTAAAACAACGGCGACGGAACCGGTAAAAAACCGGCGTCGGAACGGGCAAAAAAATGGCAAAACGGAACCGGTAAAACCACGGCCCTGTCGCTTCCAGGGCCCACTAAGCCCAGAGTCCCCGTAGAGCCTTCCAGGGCTTGCCAGGAGTGTCCGCGGCGCTCCCGCCGCACATCCTCTGGATCCGCCGGCTCTCGGGCAGGACTGCCTTGCCGCGTCCGCCAAGGTTCGAGGCTGGGCCGAGGGTGGTGGCGACGCTGGCAATTGATGATGGCGATCACTACACTGACAGTGAGGAGCTCAGTGGGCCCTGGAAACGACAGGGCCGTGGTTTTACCGGTTCCGTTTTGCCTTTTTTTTTGCCGGTTCCGACGCCGTTGTTTTACCGGTTCCGTCGCCGTATGTTGACCGGTTCTGGCTCCAGTTCCGATCCTGGAGCCGTTTTTTTGCCGTTTCCGGTCGCCGTTTGTTTGCCGTTTCCATATTCAAGGGACATTTTTGGGGAAACGGTGAAAAAACGGCCCTGCCGTTTCCGGGGCCCACAAAGGTGAGGACGATGGTGGTGATGGACAACGGTGGTGGTGATGACAATGGCGATGGTGATGATGGAGTCGTTCCGCTGCCGCCAGGGTTCGAGGCCGAGTGGATGACGTGATGGCGATGAAGATGCCATGATGACGACGACGGCGACGTTGCTAGTGGGCAGCGATGCCGTCTTGCCGCTGCCGCCAGTGCTCGAGGCCATGCTGATGCCAATGACGACGCTTGTGACGATGACGACTGCGGTCGTGATGGCTCAGGGGCAACCTCAGGGGGGAGAAAAGTCAGGGGGGTGGGGCTCCATCGACCCCCACTCGGCCTTCCATCGCCGACACGGGGGGGCCCGCAAGCTCACCCCGCCCAGGAGCGTGCGGAGTAGCCATCGGGGCCTGTCGCCGATCTACCGGCGATGTTTTGTTGATTCCAGCTCGATGTGTTTCCCCACCCCGGAACCAGTCCCCTCATGCTTTCTCAAGCATCACTCGGGCCTCTGGCGGCCGTTCGGGTCGATTCGGGCACCATCCGTGACGCTTTCGGCGAGGCGCAGCCACTGGAAGGCATCCCGAGGCTGGAAAACCGTCGAGAACCGACGAAACCGCCCGACAACTCGGGGGCCTGGGTCAGTAGTTACCTACACGAGCGTGTTTCGCCCCAAACAATATTTACATGTTTCTTCCTCGACGGCGATGGGTACTGATGCGCCTAGGCAAGCCGACAATGCGACCTTTGCGAGAGGGCAGCCAGGCAAAAGAGCCTGGAGGATGGTAGAGGGTTGTGGAGTTCTTGTTCTTTGGGTGTAAACATTTGGCCTGCTTCCCAAGTTTTTTTTGGTTGGGGTGTACAGCAAACGTTGCCTTATGGCTGGTTTGGTGTACCTCTGTGTTTTTCTAGTGGTATCGAATACATCAAAAATGTGCGTCGCCAGGCAGCTTCGCCTGGTGGCGCGCCAGCCGACTCCTCGGCTCGCCTTGGAGCCACGCCCTGGTGGGTCGTTGCCCCCGTCTCCCAGCGCCTGGCGTTTGCTCCTTCGGGGCCTTGTCGTCGGCCACGAGAGGTTGTATTTCAGACCCTTGCGAGCCCCCTAGGAAACCTCGATCATTCGAAGCTCGAGCCCTCAGCAGCACCGCCCCTCAATGGCGCTGACGCCGCCTTGTTCGGTAGCACATCATGGAAGCCTTGTGTGTGCGCGTGTCCTCGCAATTCCGACTTCAGAGTGCACTGGCGTGCGCTAGCGCGCTAGCGTCTGGTAATCGACGGGACAGCGCCGATCTAGCATCGACGAGCGTCGATCTAGCGCCGCTGAGCGGCGATCGGCGTGGATTTTTGTTCGCCGGCCAGCGTCGATTCGTGAGAGCCAGCAAGGTGGCATGGCAGGCCCCCGTGAGTTGCCAACGAGGCTCTCATGACTGAGAACGTGGGGAGTCCCAGGATCCACACCTTCCGCGTACATGCTGGAGCGTGGCGAGCTGGAGTCCTCGCCAGGTAAGTGCTATGGATTGATGGGCTTGACGGGCTGTATACAGTGACTGCTTTGTCGCACCATCGCCGTGCACGGAGCCCCCGGCGCCCCGAGGCCGACCTGGCCCGCCTGCGGGCCGAGCTCTCGGTGCACGAGCGCGAGCAGCAGCGCAGCCGCGCTGCGGCCGCCGGCGCGCACGCCGCGCCGCCGCAGCCGTCGCGGCTGCCGGCGCCGAGGTGTGCCGCGGGGGCGGTCGCCCTGCCCCGGGGGAGCCCCCCTCCCGCAGGCGGCCAAGAGGGGGGTGATGACTGGGGTGGGTGGATGTCATGGTGTGGGCCATGATGCTTCCTCTGATGTCATGGCGCCTTTTATTATTTCCTTACGTCCCTGGCCCCCTCCTGGGCCGCGCACATGCCGCCGGCCATGACTTGCGCCCCCCGCTCTTGGACGCCCCCCTCTTGGCCGCCCCCGACCCTCGGGTCACGAAGGAAGGTCGCTCGGGAGGTCTTGTCGCTCTTTTCGGCCTCGGGGGGCTCTTGCCGGGCCTCGGGGCCGTCAGAAAGCGACTCAGGGTGAAGAGCCGGTCCCGGTGAACGGGTCGAGACCTTGCGGTGCTGCCGTCATGAAGCAAATCATGACGTCGTGGGTCTGGGGAGGAGGAGGAGGAGGAGGAGAAGGAGGAGGAGGAGGAAGAGGAGGAGGAGGGGGAGGAGGAGGAGGAGAAGGAGGAGGAGCAGGGAAGAAGGAGGATCGCAGTATGTTCTTAAAGCCCTGGGTTGCAGGCATAATGCGGTCGAGTCGGATGGGGCACATGGACTCTACCATTGTTGGAGCGGTGCTTGGGATGACCAACCTTGACCCAAGAGTCTGAACAGGGACGTCGTCGGTACCTGGTATTCGTAAATAACATGTATAGTCAGCATAACCAGACACGACCACCTCTTTACGACACCGGAAGTTCGACGGGGGGGTGCTCCATGGTAGGCCAGGGGAGAAGGGGCGCGCAGCAGGAGGAGGAGGAGGAGGAGGAGGAGGAGGAGGAGGAGGAGGCAGAGTTTTCACACGACGGGGGGGCGGACTCGGAGGTTCAGAGCTCCATGTTCTCTGGGAAGCCGCTTCATAATGTGTATCGAGTCGGCCCCTTGCCGGCAGTCATGTATGTGGACATAGAAACAACAGTGGCCATGGGCCAAGTACCATTCCAGTGCAGGACGCTGCGTCCAATGAGTTGTACGCAACGTATATGGATCGATGCCTGATGGGGGCCCAGCATCTTCATCTTCACAAATGGCAGACTGATGCGCCACGGGTGAAACATGGGGAGGAAGGAAATCAATCAAGCGGTACGCGGAGCTCTGGCAACTGCTCCGGGATCGGACCGAACGCTGGATTCTGTCGCACATGTCGCGCCGCGAGGAGGAGGAGGAGGAGGAGGAGGAGGAGGAGGAGGAGGGGGGAGGAGGAGGAACGGATTAGACGGGGGGAGGGAGGAGGAGGAGGCGGATGAGGAGGAGGAGGAGGAGGGAGGAGTGGAGGGAGGAAAAATGAAGAGGAGAAGGAGGGAAGGAGGAGGGAGGAGAGGAGGAGGAGGAGAGGAGGAGGAGGACTTGGGGAGAATGATGACGGAGAGGGAGGAGGAGGAGGAGGGAGGAGGAGGAGGAGGAATGGACGGAGGGGATGAGAGGAGGAAGAGGAGGAGGAGGAGGAGGAAGGAGGGAGGAGGAGGGGAGTAGGAGGGGTAGAATGAGGAGAGGAGATAAGGAGGAGGAAGTGGAGGAGAGGAAGGTCGGAGGAGGAGGAGAGCAGGTGGTGGAGGGAGGAGGAGCCCCCCTCGCGCCAGACATTGCTCCAGCGGCCGCCCCGACACCGCCGCCAGCGCCGCCAGCGCGCCCAGCGCGCGCAGCGCCGGCGCCGGCGTGCCCAGAGCCGCGTCCGGGGGGCCGGTCTCCTCAGCTGCGGCCGGCGCCTCGGCGCGCGAGCGGGGGGGCGGAGCGGAGGAAGAAGGAAGGAGGGAATTTGGGAGGGAGGAGGGAGGAGCGAAGGGGGAGGAGGATGAGGAGGAGGAGGAGGAGGAGGAGGAGGAGGAGGAGGAGGAGGAGGAGGAAGGCCGTGGAGGGGCCTGGAGGGACGAGGGAGGATCAGGAGGAAGAGGGGGCGCACAAGGCGGGCACGCGGGGCTTCGGCGTAATTGCGCGTAGCTTCGGCGCGCCGACGGGTATCCCGCTCATCAGGGGGGCGGCGCGACGCGAGAGTTCCTGGGGCACTGCGCAAGGATTGCCCCGAGGCCTGAGGAACACCGCACCCCTGATACGCCTGTGTCCAGGCGCAACACGTGCCGTGTGCAAAACGTCCGTCCTAACAGGCTGCGTGTTGGCTCGGCACGTGCTGGTCCAAGTTCTGGCGAGCGTGTCGTGCCAGAGCTGCGCCGCAGTCTGCGTGCTGAGTCCTGTGCCAGCACGCAACGGGTTGCGTGTTGCGTGTCGGGGCGGCTGAGCTGAGGACTTGAAGTTTTGGGGGGTGCTTCCAATTCTTTCTGGGCCGGCAGGGGCCTCCCCTCGACATCCCAGTCCAACGCGCAGCCCTGGAGAGGTTTGGGGGCCCTTTCCCGACGAGGGCCACCACCACGACCACCACCACCGCCGACCAACACCACCACCACCACCACCACCACCACCACCACCACCACCACCGCCACCACCACCACCACCACCACCATCGCCCATCGCCACCACCACCGCCACCGCCACCGCCACCTCCACCTCCACCACCCACCACCA